AAAAACCAACCAAACAAACAAAAAAACAAAATGGCAGTTATATGGGATAAAAAAACCCAAGGTGCCTAGTATACAAATGAGCATTATGGGTAATAAAATTACACTATTTGTAGAAATCATACTTATTTAATAGATTTTAGCTTCTTTTGCCACAAAAGCCAGAAAGGGTGGGGTAACTGTGAAACTGGATATGTGAATTTATTTCTCTCTAGTGTCCTTTTTACTATCTGCATGTACCCCAACCAGTATTATAGTTGGTGATTAATCTAAGAAGTAGTTTCAGGTTTTGTGTACTGCTGAAACATTTATATAGCCTTTCTATTCTTAGGCTACGATACATGAGGAATGAGTAAATGAACAAGTGAAAGATAATGTCAGTGAGTAGTCTGCTGAGTGAAGGATGTGAAGATTCAGTGTGCAGTTACAGTTCAGGAATCATTCCCTGAGCCAGCTTGCAAGGACAAGTATCAGAGCAGGCATGGGAACGAACCTGAACAGGTCCAGGAGCATGGCCTCACCTGCTGAGGTCCACACCGATGTTCTTGAGCTTCACAGTGGTGGCGTAGGTGTGCCCTTCTTTAAGCACCCCGAACTTCACAGATGGGGGGAGAAGGTGGAACCCAAGAGGGGTGCACTTTGCGTTATTGATGGCAGCAGATGCAATGGAGGATGTGTTCACTTTTCCTCCTACAGGATCTAGTACCTGTGAAGTCAGAACAGAAAATTAGCAAAATGATTTTCCTTGGGGTTCCCAAGATAAGAATAAGCTCCTGTCATGGGAGCAAAATAATTGTTAGATATCCATCTTCCTCTGTGCCAGTGACAACCCAAGTCAGCTCCCCTCAAAATCTCGAGGACTCACTAAGATACAAACTGGGGATCCCACTCTCAGGGTTTCTCTTTCCATGCATCTGAGGCAGGGTCAAGAGCTTGCATGTGTATCAATTCTCAGGTGTGGCTGATACTACCGGTGCTCTGCTCTGTGCCCTTTGCAGTGCTGAGATGGGCTGGGAGTTGGTGGGAACTATAGGACCTCCGGCTCCACATAAGGCCTGAGCCCTTGGTAATCCACAAGCACAATGCATTTGAGAAACACTCCTATTATGTATCAGTTATGTACATGGCAGTGATTTCTATGATAGCAATGACCACTATGTGGCATGAAAACAGAGAAGATAGCTATCAAAATTTTACTAGTGAGCCTATTGGAACTGGAAGGTGGAAATCTAATCTGAGAGGCTTGGGGTAGGAGAAGAAGAGAAACCTACAGCTGCTGAAGGAAAGAGAGTCTGAGGCACATGTGAGAACAGGTCCTACACTCATCCAAGCCATGTAGATTCTAGCCTAAACAACATCAGAAGGCTGGCTGGTGATCCAGTAGTGAGCTGCTGAATAGTCTCAAGAGACAGAAGTCCCAGCACAGCTGATATCTGCTATCAATCGTTTAATGGCTGGCTCATAAAATTCATCTCAAGTCTGTAGGAGCTAGCTTGTACAGAGCACTGCTGTAGTTTCTGTGACTATAGGCCTCACATGAGATGGTGGAGAGAGTACAAAACAGCACATGGTGGCTGAAGCTAGGAACTGCTATGCAAAAGGGTTATAGAAAATGCTAACAGGATCTGTGAAATTAGTTTCCATGTCTGTTTTACCTTTGCAAGTGGTTGGGACTTTGGCTTGGAGCCCAGCAGATAGTGCGGTAGCTTCACCTTCTCTTTTCTTGCTTGCCCTGCAGCATCTTGCAGCAATGACTGGGTGAGAATTTTCATAGGTGCGCAAGATTCTGGTTCTGACAGAGACGAAGGTCAAGTTATGTCGCGTGGACATTTCTAAGACATCTAGAATGATGCTAGCTTGGGAGTTTTGGTTTTTAAAGAGCTTATTTAAAAATAAAGGATTTTTATCAATTCTTGTGTTAACAGTTTTACATTTTACAAAGGAATTTCACATATATTATCTACTTCTAGTCCTTACAGCGACCCTATGAGATAGGTGCAACTGTAAATGTTGACATTAGTTTTGAAAATAAAATTCTAGGGGCTGTGGAGATAGCTCTGTGGTATAAGCTCTTGCCTAGCAAGCACAGGGACCTGAGTTTGATCCCCAGTACCACATGTTGTGCAGTGCTGGGCATGCTGTGCCAACCACCAAACTGGGCATGGTGGTACACGCCTGCAATCCCAGCACTGGGGAGGCTGAGACAGGAGGATCATTATGAGTCTAAACTGCATAGTGAGACCCTGCACCAAATAAATAAATAAATAAATAAATAAATAAAAGATTGGAAGACAAAGAAAGAAAAGAAGAAAATTCTAAGAAATCAAGTAACTTGCCTGTGATGAAGTAAACATGTCTATGTCTTAATGGTCCTTTCCTATATAGCAATAAGTTAAAGTGTAATAACATGTGGTTCTTAGAACAATTGAGGGAAAGTCTTAAGAATTTCTTTCATTTTACTTAGGTACTTATTCTAAAAAGCCATGCAATAATATGGATAAATTAAGTGATAAAATTAAATTCTGAGATCATGAAATTCAGTCACTTTTTTCCCCACAGTTACATGAGTGAGGAAAAGAAGAAAAGCCCCACAGCTGCAGCTGTATATATTTATTCCAAACATTCCAAATATTCAGAAGGCTGTAAGAACTGCATTGTCGGCCACCAGACTTAAAAAGCATTTCTTGCATTTGAACCATGAAGACAGTCAAAGGGAGGGGCCTGACAGAGAAAAGCCCTCAGTGTGCAGGTGAGCACCACATTTTCCACACGCAGTCTCTGCGAACCATCATCAAGCCCTGTGAGCAGGAGAGCTGAGAAGATGACGGTTTTGGCACGCTCAGTGTTTTTGCTGTCTCCCCTCCCACATGCACTTCTACCTTGTGTGGTAGAATGCCTCAGCCGCCATGGTCCTGGCCAGCATCGCGGCATGGGGCTCCAGAGAAGCCAGCGAGGGGTCTCCTTGAATAGCTCTACTGAAGCTGACAGTGATAATCCCATCTTCCCTACTGGGTCGTGAATCTAGAAGAACTGGCATATTGGGGGTTTGTTGCTGTCAGCCCTGTCATATGGAAATAACCTGTCCCTTATGGGAAAGAGTAAAACCAAGGGATGGAGTAAGAAGGAGGCAGAGAGGAAGTGAAGGGAGAGGCAATCAGACTTGCATTTGTGGAGAGCCAGAGAGTGAGTTTAAACATAGCCAGTTATCTGTGGTTTGCTTTTGTGTGTCAATAAATCCATTACCCTCCACTCTTTCATTCATTTATTCATTCATTTTTAATGAGCTTGAGTTATCTAAGTTAAAATCTTAAAAATACCAACTAATGCAATAGTAGTAGCTCCTTTTTATGAATAAAGTAAACTGAAGTTCAGAGGATTAAATAACCTGCCCAAGAAATTGCGATAAGTGGCAGGCCTGAAATGTGAACATCAGTCTGTTTAATTCCACCAGGAACACATGCCTTTCACTACTCAGTGTGCTCTGAAATCTGGGTACCATTGTTTCCTAGGCTTACTTTAGAACAATAGATTCCTGGGTGGGAGGCCAGACCTGCCCTGTTCCAAATCAAACCTGAAGGGAAGTCTCAGAAGACAGACATCGGTGATGAGGATTCTAATGTACGCATTCCCACTGGTCACCATTCCCTACACGGGCAATCATTTTAAAGGTTTGATGCATCTCGAGTGTGCTGCATACTGTGCACAAATACATTTTATCAGGCCAGTGGGCACAGAGTAGGTCTTCATATGATTATTATTAACTGCTGATATGGAGTTTATCACGTACAAAGCAAGCACTGCTGTAAGCATTTTACTTGTAACAACCAAAAAAAACAGATTCTCACAACCTTTTCACTTATTATTCAAGCATTATTTCTCCTTCATGGAAAAGGAAATGGAAAAGACAGAGCAAATACATAGAGTGCTCGAGGCTGGAGTGCTCTACCATTGAGCCAGAGTGCTGACCTAGCAGCATGAGCCGTAGGCCCTGGGTTAAGACCAAGCAAGAAAGAGAAAACAAAGAGGACAAAGAAAGGAGGAAAGCAAGCAAGCAAGCAAGCAAGCAAGCAAGCAAGCAAGCAAGTAAGCAAAGCAAAACAAAGCAAAGCAAAGGAAAACAAGGAAAGGAAAGAAAAGAAGAAAGAAAGATCTGCTCGGTATTGCCCAGCTAGTATGTATGGAGGCAGGATTTGAACCCAGGAGGGGCTTATGCATTAGTTCTACTCTACATCATACTGTCTCCATGATGCAGTAGAGCATTATCCTGCTGATCTTGAAACTATACAGGGCTTCCTCAGGGATTAGGATTATGGCAAAGGTCATATTTAAGAGGCTTGGAGTAATGGCTGGTTACTGGCTGATACAGAAGTACTTTAATATCGATGAGGCTAGAACAGTACTGCTGTGAGCACAAATCCTCTGAAGACTGCTGCTGGGCCTGACCCGGCTGAGGAACCTGCACTCATTCCCTGCTGCCTTGCTGAGGGAGATCATATTGTTTATTCATGTTTACTTGAATCTTTCTGAGTATGACTTACTTCCCTAGCAGTGGGGTACATCTCTCTGCCCTATGAACTTTGAGCTTGAACACAAGACTTGCTCTGACAAACACACACACACACACACACGTGTGTGTGTGTGTGTGTGTGTGTGTGTGTGAAAGGCATCCTCCCACTTCTAAGAAGGCTGTGAGGGCCTGTGTGCATTTCCTACTGTCTCTCTAAGCTTTGACCCTTGCTGTGAGAACAGCTTTTCTATGATTGTGGGACTCCCTCAGTGGGGCACCCTCAGGTTATGTCTGAACTTCACCTTTGGTCCAAAGCACAACTAAACATTTAACACCTGCCTTTCTGTCATGGGTTTGGAGGACATGGAGGAAATGGTGAGGTGTTAGTGTGGGTGGGGTGAGAATGTGGGGGTGAATGCTGCATGATTTGCATACATGCTCCCTTGCCATGCTGGCCTCAAGACCTCAGTGCCATGTTATGGAATGTAGGGTTGGGATGTAGTAGACTGCTGACTGGTGGTCAACTTGTTATACTCAGCTGAAGTGAGCTAGTACGGTACAGGGTGTGGGAGGCCCACCCGAGCATTATTGCCAGCCACCTTAGAGGTAGAGCTGGAGAAGAGCTGAGAGGCTGCTGGGAAGCTGTTTGGAGAAGCTGCTAGAGCTGTTGGAAGCTGCTGGCTCTCCTGGGCTATTCTGCCGAGTGACCTTGTCCTGCTGCTTTCCTGGTGAAGTGGCAGTTCTTATGACTGGAGGCATTTGGGACCTTCATTATTGCTGAGAATGGCTATAGTTCACATTGGAGGAGCTCTGGTCCTCATCTTGAGCATTGCTTCCTGGTTCCAGAGGGGAAGGTGGTGCACTGCTCAGCCTTGTGGAGAAGCTTGTCACGCTGGCTTTTCCTAGTGGGAACTCAGCTTTCCTCATCACTGGAGGAGCTCAGGACCTTGCTGAGGATGGCTGAGGTCCTTTGGGGGAAGTTCTGGTTCTTATCTTGAGTGTTGCTTTCTGGCTCCAGTGCAGATCCCTCAGCCTGCTAGCACAGATCCTTCATTCCACTGGCACAGGCCTTCTAGCTTTGGGCCTGTCCAGTGCAGATCTGTGAAGCAGGCCTGCATGAGACATTGTTGTGGGATCCTGGCCTCCAGTTGGATTTTCAGGAGGCACTGTTCTGAGCTCTAGGTCTTCAGCTGGACTCAGGCAGGTCATCAGGATCCAGGCTCTCAAGCTGGATTCCTTGATCTTTAGTATGTGGACAGATTTCTTGCACTCTTTGTATATGTGGTACTGGGGATCAAACAAGGGACCTTGCACTTGCCAGGCAGGTGCTTATGCCACTGAGCTATCCCTCCAGCTCTATTCTTTAAAACTACTTCTCCCATCAACCTTTTTCTACTGCTGTGTTAATCCTTCTCTACCATGAAGTTATTAAAGCTTTATTATTAATATGAAACAATACATTGTAACTTATAATACCTTATTTTCCTTTCCTCAAGTAACTCAGTTGATAGCCTCCTTGTTTCCAAGTGTTTCTCTTGCCTCTTTCAAAAGCATCTATTCCTTTGAAGCTTGAACTGTTGGACTGAATTAGTGATTCCTCCTTCAAGTAATTGTCATCTACTGATTCCTCCATCATTCCTTTTAATCTTTGGGGGTTGTAACATCTGAGATGGGCTCCTAGCACATCTTTACTGGTCACATCACCTGGATGATCCATTCAACACCTTGTCCTCCCTGCTTCTCAGTGACTCTTGCTGCTTCATCTTTTCTTTCCCAGAATTCTTTTGGTCATATTTTAACTTTGCTGTTCTGGAAATCTATGTATTTCCTCCCCAAAGCCTCATGGGATCATAGGTGGGTGGGAGTGGGGAGTGGCTGGATTAGGTTGTCTGAGTGTGTATTAAGGGTGTGATACTGGGATTAAGGGTGAGGAGAGTGGAAGCCCCTTGTGGTGTGAGTGGCACCAGCCAATGGGCTTAGAGCCTCGGTGAAATAAAAAAGGAGAGAAGGAAAGGCAGTGGCTGCTGCTGCTGCTGCTGCTACTGCTGCTGTTATTCTGTTGCGGCTTCCTTCCTGCCCTGCCCTGTTGTCTGTCTTTGAAGCCAGTCTATTATGAATTTAAGCATCTACGAATTGTACAATGAAATACATATCTCTTCGTTTAAAGCTGGGTGTTGGGTAACACCCAAAAAAGAAACAACTAAGACAGATTTGGTACCAGAAAAGTGAAAATTTCCTATGGCACCACTTGGCCACATAGTTTGGAAGCTTTTGCAACTGGCATGTGGGATTTGAGAAAATCTGGAGATGCCAGTTGAAAAAATAACCCTTGGATGTTGTAAACTTGTCTTGCTGGGAGATTCTGGTCAGAGCTCAGAAGACCAAGATGTTGACAGAAATGGAGTTGGTAAGGACCAGGTTCTAGAGGTTTCAGTTAGGAGCGAGGACTGCGCTGGCAGTTAAACTCCATGCCTTGGGTGTCATGCTTTAGCAGCAAGTTTGTCTTCATTTTGCCGCTGTCCAGTGACTTTGCCTGAGACTGAGGTTAAGAGCAGTGGGATAATTAATCTTGCAGATGACATTTTGAGGCTAATGTTGAGGTGGTAGAATGGTACTAGTGAGCATTTTAGCCAAATCTATGAAGGAAGAGCCCAGCAGAATGATTTAAAATATTTTGAGTAGGCTGGCCAAATAGCTCAGCAGATTAAAGCACCTGCAAACAGGCACAGGGGCCAGGGCTTCGATCCCCGGGACTGCTGTGCCAGCCCTGCACTCAGGGCATGCTAAGACAGCAATTGAGACTGGGTGTGGTGGTTCGTGCCTGTAATCCCAGCTCTTGGGAGGCTGTAAACAGGTGGATCACTACAAGTCCAATCTAGTAGTGAAACCCTGAACACCCTGTAGACCCTTCCCTAAAACAAAACAAAACAAAACAAAACAAAAAACAAATAAATTATTTTGATTTTAGCAAGAAAGGAATCTTAGATAGAAAAGAAGTAGCAAAGGAAAACTTGGTTGATGAGAAGGGGGAGGACAATAAACAAGATGGCTTGAGAATATCATGAGAACCAGCAGGACTACCCCCTTTGCTGCCTCAAAATTGCAAAGATGAAAGACTGTTTTGAGAAAGAAGCCCTAGAGCACCATGTTCTAGAGTGGTAGTGCCTAGAAAATCTGTTTCTTAGATTGGGTTCCTAGATCTTGGCAATCCAGGTGCTTGCCCCCCATAGCCAAGAGAAAAGAAAGACTGGTTACTTGTCTTAGTTACTCTCCTCTTGTTGCTGAGACAAATACCCGACACTCAAAATGAAGGAAGGAAGGGTTTATTTAGCTCACAGTTACTGAGGTTTCAGTCCATACTCAGCTGGCTCCAAGGCACAGTGGCACATGACAGAAAGCAACCTTTCATGGTTGCGGCAAAGAGCAAGAGAACAAAAGGAGGGGC